TCTGGAGCCTGAACCCAATCCCCGCTAATTCCCTGTGGTACGCTGAGGCTGGGCCCTCTCCTAAGAGGATTAGAGCGTTTGCTGAATTAGTGCTGTTCAGGGAGAGGGAACAGCCAGGGACAGTCTCAGAGATCAGGGAGGGACACGAGGGAGGAGGAAGAAGAGGGGTGAGGGGAGAGATGGAGAGAGGAAAAGACAGCAGAGAAATACTCAGGCCTGTAGTGAGCCCAGGAAGGAAGAACCCGGGAGGGGAGAAGCAGGAGTGAAAGGCAGGACCAAAAATTGGGGGGCCGGGGGGTGGGGAGAGAATTGCCAGGAAGGGCTGCATCCCAACAAGATACACAGAAATCCCAGTTCTACCTCTTCCTAGTTGTGGGCTTGGGCAGGTTACCTACCTGACTTGCCTCTGCCTCAGTTTCTCATCTGGGAAATGGGAATAATAAGAACATACATCTGGCCGGAACCGGTTTGGCTCAGTGGATAGAGCGTCGGCCTGCGGACTGAAAGGTCCCGGGTTCGATTCCGGTCAAGGGCATGTACCTGGGTTGCGGGCACATCCCCAGTGGGAGATGTGCAGGAGGCAGCTGATCGATGTTTCTCTCTCATCGATGTTTCTAGCTCTCTATCTCTCTCCCTTCCTCTCTGTAAAAATCAATAAAATATAAAAAAAAAAAAAAAAAAGAACATACATCTGAATATAACAGCATGTCTGGTGGGTTGTGCTGAGAATTAGGAGTTAGGATTGGCTTTTACCTGTGTCTGGAAAACAGCTCAGTACATTTTTCTTTTTTCCTTTTTGTTTTTAAATATATTTTCATTGGTTTCAGAGAGGAAGGAAAGGGAGGGAGAGATAGAAACATCAATGATGAGAGAGAATCATTAATCGGCTGCCTCCTGCACACACCCCCACTGGAGCCCAAAACTTGGGCGTGTGCCTTTGACTGGAATCGAACCTGGGACCCTTTAGTCCGCAGGCTGACGCTCTATCTACTGAGCCAAACCAGCTAGGGCTTTCTTTCTTTTCTTTTCCATCGATTTACTGAGGTGTACTATATATACTATACAATCCACCCATTTGCCCAGCCAGTGTGGCTCAGTGGTTGAGCATTGACCTATGAAACCAGGAGGTCACGGTTTGATTCCCAGTCAGGGCACATGCCCGGGTTGCAGGCTCGATCCCCAGTGGGGGATGTGCAGGAGGCAGTCTATCAATGTTTCTCTCTCATCATTGATGTTTCTATCTCTCTCCCTCTCCCTTCCTCTCTGAAATCTATAAAATAAATATTACAAATAAAATAAAAACAAAATCCACCCATTTGAAGCATAAAGCTTGGAGGGTTTGGGCAATTGCAGACAGTCATGGAAGCACCCCCATAATCAAGATATAGGACAGCGGTTCTCAACCTGTGGGTCGCGACCCCTTTGTCAGTCGAATGACCCTTTCACAGGGGTCGCCTAAGACCATCCTGCATATCAGACATTTACATTATGATTCATAACAGTAGCAACATTACAGTCATGAAGTAGCAACGAAAATAATTTTATGGTTGGATCACAACATGAGGAACTGTATTTAAAGGGCCAGAAAGTTGAGAACCACTGATATAGGACATTTCTAGCCCCCGAAGATTCCTGTGTGGTGACTCCTGCCTGCTGATCCCCAGCTCCCAGCAACCACTGTTTGTTCCCTGCCACTGCAGCTCCCCTTTTCTAGAATTTCATGTACATAGAATCACATGGCATGGACCGCTTTGAGCCTGAAGTCTTTCCCTCACTATTGTGCTATTCACCATGTTGTTCTGTTGGCCGGTTCATTGGTTTTTATTGGTGAGAAATATTCCATTGCCTGCATGCACCTCGGTTTGTTTATCCACTTGCCTGTGGACGGACATTTGGGTGGTCTCCTGTTTGAGGCCATTATGCATGAAGCTGCCATGAATAGTTCAAGTACAAGTTCAGTTAAAAAAAAAAAATGATCAGGTTAAGACAGTGATCGGCAAACCACGGCTCGCAAGCCACATGCAGCTCCTTGGCCCCTTGAGTGTGGCTCTTCCACAAAATACCACGTGCGGGCGCGCACGTACAGTGCAATTGAAACTTCGTGGCCCACGCACAGAAGTCAGTTTTCAGCCTGGGCAAGTCTATTTTGAAGAAGTGGCGCTAGAAGAAGTGGGGGTACATTCTCTGAGGTTGACCCCTCAGATTGAGGACGTTTTTAGCAAAGGCCAGCTTAGGAGTACCCTAATTAAGTTAATAACAATGTACCTACCTATATAGTTTAAGTTTAAAAAATCTGGCTCTCAAAAGAAATTTCAATCATTGTACTGTTGATATTTGGCTCTGTTGACTAATGAGTTTGTCAACCACTGGGTTAAGATAAACATTTAGACTTGACTTGGGGTGGTGAACACACAATTCAGTCTACAGTTGAAGTGTTGCAGAATCGCACACCTGAAACCTGTATAATTTTGTTAATCAGTGTCACCCCAATAAATTCAATAAAAAGGGAGGAAAGATAAACATTTAGCACGATGTTTTCAAGGCCCATCCATGTTGTCAGAGCTTCATTTTTGCGCCCCCTACCCCCCATTGATTTTTAGAAAGAGAGGAAGGGAGGGAGGGAGGAAGCCCATGGACGGGCCCATGCCCGCAGAGACAGAAGGTGGGGGGTGAGGGCATGGGCAGAGCGACCCCTGTTTCTACCTTTTCGGCCTGCCCTTCCATAGAAATTTAAAAAAATCACCCAGACTTTAAGTGAGATTCAAGATTTTAATCATTTTCACTCCGAAAGGGGCCAGGGAAGGGAGATCTAGAGTTCTGGGGCGTGGAAAAGGGGAGGACAGAGGGCCTGGGGTCCCTTCCCTCCGTCCCCAATTCCCTTGTCACTCTTCCCAGTTTTGGAAAGTAGACCCTTTAACATCGACAACTGGAGAACCAAAGGCTAGCCCAGGAACCTCCTGAACAAATCTATCTGACTCTTTCCAAGTCCTGGAGAAGTCCTGAAAGACCCCCAGATAGGGATGCATGTGTCCCCAGCCCCTGTTGCTCTCCAGCCTCCTTCAGAACACCATGTCCATCCACCAAGCCCTCCCCAGACCCTCTTATCAGGCTGCCTTTGAATTGTTTGCACAGACACACCTTCCCCGTGGATGAGGAGCTCAGTCCTGTTTACACCCGAGATCCCAGCCTCCCGCACAGAGCGTGGGAGTGTCTACGAAATGAATAGCTAACACTGCATTCTGGTCTCCACTTGGGCACCGATCCAGAGCACAGTGTCGCCTCTGCCAGTCCCTCCCCTGTGAATTTTGTCTGGATCCCCCATCCTGCACCCCAGCATGTGCCATCCTGATTATCGGTGTCCCAGTCTAGATCCTGAGCCTCTCCCGGGATTAATGTCCCAGAGCCCAGCAGGTCTCAGGCCCACAGAGGTGACCAAGTGTTGTGTTGAGTAAAACATTTCTGTGGGCTCTAGTGATCACACTGTGCCCCTCAGGGGTTCAGGCTTAGGGACCTCTCTTGGCCTGAACCCAGAAAAACCATCTGATGCCTCTCAGCCTCTCTTCACACCGTGGCTGCCTCCTGGTCCCTCTTCCTGCTCTGGGGGCCTGGAGCCAGTTCCTACCGGGTCATGAGCACAGATTACACACATCTCTTCCCAGCTCTGAGTTCAGTGACTTCAGATTCGTGCCTTGAACTCAGCCATAGTGGGAGGGTTTACACCACAGAAATTGGCAAACGCTACCAATCAGGGCTCTTCCTCTCCCTGGAGAGCACGTTGTCAGCCATCTCCCAGCGTACCACGGCCTCCCACCCCACTCTCTTTCACCACGTACCTGGCGAAACCCACGAGTGAAAGGCTCCTGGCTCCTGCCTCCCCTGAGCTAGAAATGAAAGGAGTCAGATGAGGAGGAAGAGGCCAGAGCACCAAACTTCCAAGAGTGTCAAAATGCCCGACGCTTCCCTAAAATTCTCACAGTGCTCTTCTCTTTGCTGTGGGTCAAATTATGTTGAAAGAAATATGGCGTTGCCCCAGGGAAACATCCTCAGGCCAAGCACTGTTGTCCAGTCCCACAATCGAAACTGCAAGCGAACAGTCTTCAAGAGGAATTGTCTATTTTAAAAGTGGGCCTTCCTCCAAATCCGGTTCTCACCCCACCCCTACTTTTGTGTGTTTATAGGTCGGGAAGCCCGTCCACCTCTTTTTCTCTATGAAATACCCACAACTAGGGCTGGTCCACCCCTTGAAACTATCCCAGTTCTTCCCATGTTTGGGTGAACGTCTCCTTTAGACAACCCTAAACCAAAAGGAAAAAATATACTAGTAGACATGGAGCCGGCAGCTTGCCTCCCATTCTCCTACCAAATGTGTCCATTCCCAACGTCCGAATGAATGAATGACCGAACGATGAAGTGTCTTTAAGAAGAAACTAGGAAATAGATACTAGATACATAGCAAACAGGCCCCTGTACCTACCACGTAACTGTCATTTGTAAAGTTGGTTATCATCGCCAAAGACATGGCCTAAGCTTCCATGACGGGGCCTCTTAAAGTCTATCTTTGGAAGTTCTAGAAGGATCGCCAGCCATGTGCTAAAGAAGAGTTTAAAATGGAAAGTTAGGAAATCGAACCTCCCTACTGGTTTGTTCAAGGGCATCTCGATTCCAACCTAAACCTTACCCCCAAATCAACTGTGAGTTTGGTTTCGTTTCATCTCGGGGCAAGTTCTCAGTGCCAGTTTCTGGAGTCTGGGGCTCATGTTTGAAAATGCCAGTTAGAATCGGAGTGAGATGGTGCTGGGTTGAGAGAATTACTGAGCCCTGCTGAAGGAGCCCCTCTCCCAGGGAGGAAAGGGGTGGACTGTGTTGTGTTAAGCTGCTCAAGAAGTCAAAGTGGCCACAGCCTTTGGCAGGATGGCTGGCTCCTGCTGCTTTCTCAGAGCTGCCGTCCAAGTACCTAAGCTTCAGGGAGGAGACTTAAACAAGAGGTGGAGACGTCGCTTCTATAAGATCTGAAACTTCCAGGCACTCTGATCTTTGTAGTCCAGAGGATCCATGGGGTTGTAGGCAAATTTCCAGGTGCCTGTAGGGTCCTTGAATTCCAAGCTGTCCATAGGGCTGTAGGCGCCATAGCTCTGGCCTGACAGGGAGGTGGGTGACTGGGCCAGGGAGGGTGCCATGGAGGGGCCAGAAAGGGGGCTAAGAGCCGGGCCCCCCAACTGGGGCACCATGGGAGAAAGATAGGGATCCAGGCCACTGAAGAAGGAGCTGGGAGACCCATAGGCTGAGGGGGAAGAGCAGAAAGCAGAGGCTGGGGCGTAGGTCATGGCATAGGGTGCTGAGGTCAGAGAAGGCCCTGAGGCCACTAGCCCAGCCCTCTGGGCCTCCGGCAAAGGGGACTCTGAGGCTGGACTCCAAATGGACACAGTGGCCACTCCCGCGGTGGGGGAGCCTGAGGGGCCAGGCAGAGGGGGGCTGTAGGAATCTGAGATGCCCAGGGGGTCTGGACAGACATCAGTGGAGGGCCTTGGGGATGTGCCCGCCTTCCTCTTGGCAGGACGAGCCTTGGCTTGCGCCCCTGGGGGCTGCTGCTGCTGTTTCTGCTGCTGCCGCTGCTGTCTGCACTTAGCCCTGCGGTTCTTGAACCAAACCTGGGGGGTAAGAAGAGAGTGCGGTTGGGGGGGGAGGTGAGTTGGGAGGAGGCCCTCATGGTGCTCAGAAATGATGCTGCTTATTGGTGAGACACGCCAGAGTCATACCTCTTCACTTTGCAGTCAGATATGGGCCACTCTATCCATCCATCCATCCAACCACCCAACCATCCAACCATTCATACATACAATTGTACATATATACGTTCATACAAACACACATCTGTCCACCCATCCAGTCATTCATATGCACATAAATACATTCATCCATCCAATGCATACATACAGTCACACAGATATACATATAACTGTGCACACATACACACACATCCATCCAATCACGTGCACATGCATACAATCATCCAAACACACACATATATATTCATCCGTTCAATCAGTTAATAAACATGTACTAACCGTCTTCTATATCAGTGAAGCTGACATTCTAGCTGAGAGAGACAGGTTATAAACTGTATGCCAGTAAATCGCAGAGTATTTTAGAAGGTGATAAATACTATCGAAGAACCAATTGAGCAGCATAAGGGGGAGCAGTAGAGTTGGCGGGAGGGGAAAATTGCAACTGTAAATCTGACCGTTGGTATAGGTCTCACTGACTGACACAGTGACTTAATTGGCTGGTAAAGATCTTGAACAGGTGATGGGGAGTAGCCATTCCAGGGAGAGGGAACAGAGAGTGCAAAGGTCCTGAGGCAAGAGTGTGCTTGCAGGCGTGTTAGAGGAGGAACGGGGGCCAGTGGCTGGAGTGGAGTGGGAGGGGTAGGAGTGGGAGAGACAAGGCCAGTGAGGGGGTGAGGACTTTAGGCCCCTTTACGACTGATGGTGGCGGTCACTCTGGGACCTCTCCTTCCTCCCCGCACTCTGGGCCCCAGGAAGGGCTGGGAGGGGCCCAGGGAACAGAAATCCCACCTGAACCCTGGACTCCGGCAGATTGATTTTCAGGGCCACCTCCTCGCGGGCGTACACATCTGGGTACTGGGTCTTGGCAAACAGGGCCTCCAGCTCCTCCAGCTGGCTCCGGGTGAAGGTGGTCCGCTCCCGCCGCTGCTTTCTTGGGGCGCCTTGGGAAGGGGGAGCAATGGAGCTCTCAGGTGACTGGGCCTCCCATTCTCTTCCTCAGCTGGTGTGAGGCCCTGAGGGTGCGTGGGACCCCAAGAAGCCCTTCCTGGGTGTTCATCTGACCATCTAGACCTCCCTCTGCCTCCCTCTGACCCCCTTTTGCCTGTCATATTGGGGCTCATGCCTCACCCTGAGGAGAACTGTCTTTAGCCTTGCAGGGAGGTGTATGGATTTATTTTTTTGTTCCGTTCCAAAATTCCTTAGGCACTAAGACATAACGTTGTGGATATCCAACCATTTCTCCCCCATCACGGTCTGTAATGTTCAATTTAATGGGGGAAAAAAGCCCAGCTAACAAATAATGCCCCCAAATGGAGAGCTCACTTCCCTAACAGATTGGAATCACCCTGGGTCTCCGGTCCAGATCGCTCCCCGCTCCCCCACCCTGCCGGAAGCCGGTCCATCCTTGCTGCTTGACACAGTCGCTGCAGGGAAGAAACATCTGCACAGCATATGTTTCAAGGGACCTGGCGTATATGGCATACTGTTCTTAATATGTTTGCTCCCCTTCTTGGCGCTATGTGTTTTAACCAAGGTCACCTCTCCAAGAAAGGTTGTTTCCTCAGGTAGGGATTTTTCCCTGGAGTTAGGGAGGGAATAAAACCCCTTAACTAAGTGCCAGGTGGGTAGTTAATCACTTTAACTACGAACAATCATGCTTAAGCTACATAATCTTTACTCCCTGGAATGGAGATAAGAAACACCCTAACCTTTGGAATAGAGATTGATAGGATTAAAATCAACTGGTATAAATACAGATGTAACAAGACAATAGCAGATAGAACCTGGCTGGAGAATCTAGCGAGAGAACATGGCAAGAGAGCCTACACAGAATTTGGCTGGAGATCCTGGCTAGGCTACTGATCAACTGAACGCTGTCTCTGTGTCATTCCTTCTTCGCTGCCTCCGTCTACACCTTTGGGAACCCCTGGACCTTCTGGGGCTTGACCCCAACACCATCCCAGAAGGAACCACCGTCCTACATTCTAGGAATGTCCATACGCTTCCCTCCAAGCCGCATGGAGTAGGGCCTGACGTCACCCCTGTGGGTGCCCATCGTCTTCCTGAGGGCAAGGGACCCCAGAGGCCCCAAAAGAGGAGGCCAGCCCGGGTGTCGGGGAGAAGGGCTATACTCACTCGGATAGGACACAGCCTGGTGCATCAGATCCACGCTGGGGCCGCTCAGGGCCAAGGCGCTGACGGAATAGTGGGGCCCCGGGTTCATATACGCCATCATGATCTTCGCGGACACCGGGGACCAGGTGAGTGGGCCTGCAAGAGAAGGGGTGGGTGGGACTCCAACTCTCCCCTGCTACCTTGTGATGACAGGAAGGCTTGGCTTCAAATCCTGCCTCAGTCTCTTTGCCTCTGTGCCTCAGTTTCCCCTCTATAAAAATGACCTGCTGCTAAGGGTCCCAAAGTTTCACTGAGCCCTGGCCGGTGTGGCTCAGTTGGTTGCAGCATCATCTTGTACACCAATAGGTGGGGGGGTTCCATTTCTGATCAGGGCACATACCCAGGTTTCGGGGAACGTGCAGGAGGCAACCAATCCATGTTTCTCTCTCTCTCTCTCTCCTTTCCTCTCTCTAAAATAAATTTTAAAACATTCTGGTGTCCTGGATGGTGTGCAAAGTGGTTAGAGCGTTGGTCCTGTGCACCCAAGGGTTGTTGGTTGGTCCCCAGCCCTGGTTGGGGCGTGTGTGGGAGGCAACCAATCTATGTGTCTCTCTCTCTCTCACATCAATGTTTCTCTCTCTTTCAAAAGTCAATGGAAAAAATATCCTCAGGTGAGGACTAGCAACAAAAAATACTGGTAAAACCAATTTAAATTAAAAAAAAAAAAAAGTGTCACCAAGACTGTGTGTAGGGCAGAGCTGAAGCTGTGAACACACACCATAAATAAAAGTTCTTCTTCCTACTCTGTCCTTTAAAAAGTCTGACCCTGCCCTTTCCCTCACCAAAACCTTTCCTTCTAGGACCCCGGAAAAGATGTCCAGCCTCACGCAAACCAGGGAGAGCAGGTGACCAGCTGTCCCGGTCGCGTGGGACGCAGGTTTCTGGAGATGTGGGGCGCCCAGAATCAAACCCAAAGGTTCCCAAACCAGCTGCGTGTCACCCTGCGGGAAGGCCACACTAAAGCACCGGGTGTTGCTCTTCCACGCCCACGTCTTAGGCATGTATTGGTGGATGAATATATCTGTGTGTGTATGAGGTGAGATAGATGGACGTAGGGATGAGTATGTATGTGTTTGCATGAATGTATGTATGTGCAATTGTATGTATCGATTGGTTAGGTGGATGCATAACTATGTTTACCTCTGTTCCTTGAATTCACCTCAGAAGTAGCTGGTCCCTAATGACTTAAATAAACCTTTCACCTGTGTGTATTACATATGTGTCTGAAAGATTTTGAAATATTTTTAAATTACAATTTGAAAATAGGGATGAGTGTGTGTGTATTTTAGAGACCATATACTACCATAATAAATATAACATAAGTTACATAAGATATACATATACAATATATATACTCAAAAATATGGTTCTGAGCAGTATGTATAGCATGCTACCATTTGCGATTTTATTATCCTATATAATAAAAGCCTAATATGTTAAGTATCCAGTCATCCGTTCAACCAATCAAAGCATAATATGTTAATGATATGCTAAGGCTGCTCAACCGCTCACTATGACGTGCACTGACCACCAGGGGGCAGATGCTCTGACCAGTAGGTTAGCTTGCTCCTGGGGTACGGCTGATCGGGACTGAACAAGATGGGCCAGACCACCCTGGAGCCCTCCCGCAGTCCCTCCTCAGCCCCAATTGTGGGGTCCCTCAGCCTGGACTGTGCCCTCTCACAATCTGGAACCCCTCAGGGGATGTCGGAGAGCCGGTTTTGGCCCGATCCCACAGGCCAGGCTGAGGGACCCCACTGGTGCATGAATTCATGCACCAGACCTCTAGTTTTATTATATTTTTAAAAACTTGAAAAAAGATTCTTTTTTTTGGAAAAAAATTGAACTACAGTTGACATTCAATATATTAGTTTCAGGTATACAGCATATCATTTGTGATTTTTTTTATCCTTAGCCAAACATATGTTTATTGATTTGAGACAAAGAGGAAGAGAGAGAGAGAGAGAGAGAGAGAGAGAGAGAGAGAGAGAGAGAGAGAGAGAGGAGAGAGAGAGAAATGTGAAAGAGAAACATCCATTGGTTGCCTCCTGACCAGGAACTTAGGTGTGTGCTCTGACCAGGAATCAAACCTGCAACCTTTCTGTGTACAGGACGATGCTCCAACCCACTGAGCCACCAGCCAGGGCTGGATTACTTTTTAACCAATATATACATGTAACCTTTTCAAAAACAAAAGCAACCATAAACTTAAAAAAAACCAAAACCAAAACAAAAGCAAATAAAGAAAAAAACCATGAGAACCTTTCCACAGGCCTTTATTGCCCTTGTTAAGGTTACCTCGCAGCTTCCCAGGGACGGCACATGCTGTTCCCTGAGCCAGGAATGCCTGTCCCCAGTTCAAAGTCCCCCCAGTAGCGAACCCCTCCTCCTCTCGTTTCAGCTCAAGCATAACCTCTTAGGAAGGGGCCACCCCAAACCTTCAGCTGGATGTTTCCCTCTCTCTCTCTCTCTCTCTCTCACACACACCCACACACACACACACACACACACACAGGCTCATTTTTCTCCTGCTCCTCAGGACTTTGCACTTATTAAGTAGAACACACAGACGTTTGTTTACCCATCTGTCTCCCCCAACTCTGTCAACTACTCGAGTGCAGGAACGAGATATATTTCCATCCCTGCTGTGTTCCCAGCACCCCCAATAAATATATACATTTTAAATATGGAACGTTTCACGAATTTGCACATCATCCTTGCGCAGGGGCCATGCTAATCTCCGTATCGTTCCAATTTTAGTATATGTGCTGCCGAAGCGAGCACCCCAATAAATATTGGAAAAGCAAGTGCATTCACCCGGCTCTGAGAATGAGGGGTGCAACAAGAAACAAGACACACAGCCTCTCTGTTCTCATGGGAGTGAACTTCCAGGTTCCAGTCAGATAAATGGGCAGTGAACAAGGAAGTAGATTTGATTTTTTTTCCCCTCAGAAAATCAAAATGCTTTCAGAGAGTTTCAAGAACTCTGAGGAAAACTAAACAGGGGTGATATCATAATGGCAGCTCTGGGTGAGGGCGAGGCATCTAATTCAGATCAGGGAAGACCTCTCTGTAAGGGGGTGACCTTGGTGCTGCCAAGGGAAGGACTCCGTGCCAGCCATGGCCAGATCTCAGGACCCACGCTGTTCCAGGCAGAGGGAACAGCAGGCACAAAGGCCTGGAGGCTGGGATCGGTTCTTTCTTGTTGGAGGAGAAACAAGGTGTCCAGCATGACTAGAAGGAGCAATCAAGGGGGAACGTGGACTAAGGTTACGTAGAACCTGATAGGAAGGTCCTGGGGAGGGGGGGCCTGAGTGCTAGTAATAGTAACAGCAGAAACAGTAACATCCTATATAATAAAAGGGTAATATGCAAATTGACCCTAACAGCAGAATGACCAGGAACAACTGGTCGCTATGAATGACATGCACTGACCACCAGGGGGCAGACGCTCAATGCAAAAGCTGCCCCCTGGTGGTCAGTGCACTCCCACAGGGGGAGCTCTGCTCAGCCACAAGCCAGGCTGATGGCTGAAAGTGCAGCAGCCGTGGCAGGAGCCTCTCCCACCTGCACAGCAGCGCTAAGGATGTCCGACTAAAGATCCCCCGGGGAGTGGGCCTAAACCAGCAGGTGGACATCCCCCGAGGGGTCCCGGACTGCGAGAGGGTGCAGGCTGGGCTGAGGGACCCCCCTGAGTGCATGAACTTTTGTGCACCGGGCCTCTAGTTAAATCATAAGGCTCTATTGGTGTCCTAGTGGCACCCAATCATCTTTACCCTGGTCTTCACACTCTTGAACCGTCCTTCCCACTGAGCAGGGCTGATGTGTGCAACTAACAGGCTGTCAGAAATGACAGCGAGACTTCACAACTGTCTCCTTCCCTGGAGGGTGCTCAAGCCACCTGTAGGGAGATCTGTGCAGCCGGGAACCGAGGCCTCCTGCCAACAGCCATGGGAACGAGCCCGCAGTCAAGCCCTCAGACACGCAGCCCTGGTGGGACTCTGAACACTGCGGCCTGAGTCACCTGAGCCAGAACCAGGCAGTCCCACTGCTCCTGGACTCCTGTCCCTCAGAAACTGTCCATCATAAACCTTTACCGTCTTAAGCTTCAAGGTTTGGGAGTAACTTGTTACACAGCCACAGATCACTCACACCCAAGCCTTCTCTGTGGAGATATCACCGACGCCTCAGCACAACCCATGGAGGTAGAACCTGTTTTACTAGGATGTCCCCATTTTACAGATGAGAACATCTTCAGGCTCAGGTGCCGGGACTCGCCCAGGCTGTGTGTGGGGCCCTGGGATTCCTGGAGAATTCCTGATGGCCCTGTTCTTCCAGTCCCCTCCCTCCCCCCCCCCCCACCACCCCCCACCTCCGGCTTCCCTGTGTCCTCTCTCTCTTCTCCAGGGAGCAATGATGAACCTCCAGAGAGAGTGGAAACACGGAGAATCATGAACGTGTCCGGTTCCAGACAATTTGCTGGGCCCAGAACAAGAGCATCTACTTCCAGCGTCTTCACCCTGGAATCCTTGCCGGGCTATCGTGCCAGCGGCTGGCCTTCCGGAAAACCTGGGATTCCATCCTGTGGGTAGGGAATGTGAGCCTCGCTCCCCATCAAGCAGCTGATAATGATAATGACCTCCAGGACTTGGGCTTGCCCACTCCTCAGAGAGCGGACAAGATTTGAGCAAAGAATAATAACAACAAGCCCTGGCACGGTAGTTCTGTTGTTAGAGTGCCGCCCTGATACGCCAAGTTGTGGCTTCGAATCCCGGTCAGGGCACATACAAGAGTCAGCCAATGAATGCATAACTAAGTGGAACTACCCGGCCGGCGAGGTTCAGTGGCTGAGCATGGACCTATGAACCAAGAGGTCAGGGTTCAATTCCAATCAAGGGCACATGCCTGGGTTTCGGGCTCAATCTCCAATGTGGGGGGCGTTCAGGAGGCAGCCAGCCATTCAATGATTCTCTCTCAACATTGATGTTTCTATCTCTCTCTCTCTCTTCCTTCTTCTTTGAAATCAATCTATATATATATATAACAAAATCCATGTTCCTCTCTCTTTCTCTCTCCCTTCTTCTCTCTCTAGTCAATACATAAAATATTCAAAAAAATAATAACACCAAGAATAGTAGTGGACACGCATTGAAGACTCTGGGTTTGGCAATGAGGCAGCCGAAGCTCTCAGGATGTCAGGGCTGCTTCCCTCGGCTGCCACTCGGCCGGAGGCTGTGTCTGGCCTGACGGAGCTCAGACAACAACGTTTGCCTTTTGTTAGAACTTACACGAGCCAGGCAGCAGCCCTGTGACCAGCCTGCCGGGTGAACTTCAAGGCCACGATGTTTCAGGATCCCAAAGAGTAGGAAGAGGTAGACCGTTGTCCCTGCCCTGGGGACCCACCTGCAGGTGCTGGGGGCTCCTGGGGTTCAGCAGCCACTGGGTCCAGGCTCCTACCTGGGTGGGTGCTCTGACAGGTGGGGAGGGAGATTATCCCATTCTACAGTCAGGGAAACTGAGGCTGAGGTTGGGGAGGAAGGGCCCCCACCCCAAGGTCCGGCAGCCACAACCGGGCAACCTCCAGTTGGGGTGCCCAACTGCTCGGACACTGCAGCCAGGGCCTCAGAACAAGATCTTGGGAACAATAATCCAGTGCAAACATCGCTATCATCCACGTCGAAGAGGGAGAAAATGAGGCTTAGAAGCGAGTCCCAGTCCCGTCTCGCACCTCGGCCGCAGAGCCAGCGCCTGTCCCCTGAGCCTGCGCCCTCCCGATCGCCAACCTACACGGCCTCTTAGGACACTCACCACCACCCCACGGAGCTCGGGCGTCCAATTCTCCAGTGAGAGAACTGAGGCTAAGTGTGGTTCTGCCCATTCTCACGGTCACACAAGGTGTGTCTGGCACAGCCAGGAACAGAACCCAGAGAGCCCTGCCCTTGACCCTCAAATCTACCTGGGATTCCCCTAAAAGCAGGATGAGGCCAGTGACACGGGCTTGCCGTGGCTCATCTGACTGAGGCCCAGAGAGGGCACGTGAAGGGCCCAAGGCTGCACAGCGAGAAAGGGCAGGCTTCCCTCCCAGACTCAAGAGCTCCACGTCAGCCACGGCAGGGCTCCCCCAGCTCAGCCTCATTCCAGGTGCTCCTTCTTCAGATCTCCATGGCCCGTGAGCTCCTCCATCCGTGGGACCAGGACTGGAGGCGCATGGGCCACCACCCGAGACGGAACCTGGGAAAGCCAGAGCCTCTGGGCGCAGTGAGGTCCCCACGTAAGCAGTTCACCAGCACTGTGACCCCCAAATCGTCCCCTTCCCAAGGCCCCTTGGGCATTCATTCTCTCAGTCTCCCCTCCCTCCCTCCTGTAGCCCCGAAACCTTGGCCCTCTGTGTGGCCTCAGTTCTACTTGTCACTCATCCATCTATTCAACAAATACTTAGGCATCCCCAGCACATGCCAGGCATGGGAGGGAACCCAGGTTCCGTGGGGAGACAGGTGGTCAGTGGAAAAACGCACAAAGGATGAGGAAGTTTCAGGCGGTGAGGAGTTTTAAAGAAAATGCCACAGGGAGGTGCGCTAGGTGCCGTCAATTGGGCGAGAGGCCCCAGCCCTGGGAACCGAGAGAGCTCAGTGGTGTCATTGCCCCTGACTCCTCCAGTGTCCCCAAGCCATGCCCCCCCCCCCCGTCCCATCCACCCTCATTCTCTCCTGCTGCAGTCACAACCCAGCAGGGTCCCCCTCCGTCAGGTGGAACCTCTGTTCCACGTGGGATTCTGCCATCAGACATGGAAACAGTCTGGAATACAATGAGCCCGACTTCTGCCGGCTTCTGTCCCCATCCCCTCAGTTGCTCCCGCAGACACTCACCTTCAGGATGGAGGGACAGGGCCCACGTCCAGGACAGTTGTCAGATGGCAGAGGCTGAAGGAGACGGGTCCCCTCACATGGGGAGACTTTAAGCCCCGGCTGGCAGTGATGTCATTGGCCATGTGGCCTGGATCTTGGAGGGTAATCCTGGCCTGGGTGGGGGACTGGGCCCCGGGAGGTGACATTGGCTGGGAGGGGGAGGGGCACCCATCTGCCTAATCCCCTCCTCTCCCCACCATGACATCTTGGCAATTAGGGCTGAAGGGAAAGGGGGGCCCAGCTCCTGCCTGTGACCAGGAGCCCCCACTCCTCGGGCAAGTTCTTCCTTAGGACTTACTGGTGAAAGAGGAGGAAAATGCTGGGATTCCCGAGAGGCCATTTGAAAAATGAGGAAGCAGGGCTTTCTGGGGCCCTCTCCTGGGTCACCCCTTCTCTCCCAGCAGCCTGTCTGCCGATGAATTCATCTCTGCTCTGCTCCATTGCGCTCTTGTTCTGCCTCTGTTTCCCTTTTTTGGCCTCAGCCCCCATCACTCTCGTCTCTGACGTTCCTGTGTCTTCATCTCCAGACATCAACTTCTCACACTTGCTTGTTCTCTCTCTCCCGCCCTCCTTCCCTCCAAGTCAATGGTCTTTGTTTGGGGTCTCTGTGCCTCAGTTTCTCTTTTCTTTGGGCCTCAGATTATACCTCTGCCAATTTGCCTGTGTGTCCCTCTCTCATTCTCCATTTCTGTGCCGGTCCCTTATCTTCATCGGTTTTACCCTACATTCCTGCCTTGGTCTCTCTTATTCTCTTTCTCTCCTTCTATTTTTCTCTCTGTGACTCCGTCTGTCTGTGTTTTGGTTTTGGCATCTGTGCATCTGTCTCTCTCCGCCTCTGTGTCTCTCTATGCCTGTCCACCTCTCCCTGTAACTCCAGTCCACCCTCGGTACCTCGATCCTTTTTTCTCCAACCTCTTAAGCTCCAGTCTCTCTTCCTGTTTCTTTCTCTCTTCCCTGCTTCCTCCTCTGATTCTTGTTCTCTTTCTCTAACTTTCTCTTCATTTCTTTTTATTTTTATTGATTTCAGAGAGGAGGGAGGGAGGGAAGGGGGAGAGAGAGAGAGAGAGAGAGAGAGAGAGAGAGAGAGAGAGAAATTGATCAGCTGCCTCCTGCATGTCCCACACTGGGGATTGAGCCCACAACCCAAGCATGAGCCCTGACCAGGAATCGAACTGTGACCTCCTGGTTCATAGGTCGACACTCAACCACTGAGCCACATCGGCCAGGCTCTCTTCATTTCTTTCTCCCTATCTAGACACCTCTCCCGTTCTGCACTTCTGATTGTCCTTGTCTCTATGGCCCTCTGTTTTCTTCTCTCTGTCCCCCTCTCTGTCTCTCTCTTTGGATATGAATATCTTCCTGAGCTCCTGGTCCCCACATGAGTCTCTTCTACTTCCCCATACACCCAAACACGCACGTTCACACACACATGCTCGCCCACACATACGTGCATGAAATCATGGTAATCCTGCCTTGTGGCTGGGACCTTGTGTCTCACCATCAGGGGCCCCTTCTTTCTTGCCTCCCCCGAACCTCCTGCTGGGAGAGATTAAGGCCAGCAGCCTGGCTGGGGAATCAGGGCAGGACTCATTAGCTTGAGGAGCCTGGGAGGACCGGGAGGGAGGGAGGGGCTGCCTGACCCACAGAGGCCAGTCAGGAGACTACTTGGTGGAAGGGTCCTTCTGACAGCAGACCCACCTGGCCCACCGGAGCAGGGAAGGGCAGATGGCCATGCAGGAGAGGGAAGAACTAACAGGTCTTTGCAGGCTCATGGGAGAAAGTGTCAGCTACTCTGTGTCACCTCCTCCTGGAATGTTGGCACTAATTGGCCCTGAGGCTCAGAGTGTCCCCAGGGTGGGAGGGTGTGGAGACCTGGGTTTCAGAAGGTCTTTGGATGCACTTGGCCCTGAGGTCAAGTATACTGAGGCCAAACCGGTGGTGGTTAGCCTGGAGCAAGTTGCTTTCTTTTTCATCTAAACCCAGTGACTCAGAAGGAAATCTTGGCATTTACGTTTTTTTTTTCTCACCTCCCGCATCCAATCCATTCATAAATCCTGTCATCTCTTCTTTCAGAGAATGGTCCTGTTGGAATCTACAAAATGCAGCTGGGAGAAATTTTAAAAGACCCAAGTCAATGATGAAATATACCATGTTCATGGATGGGAAGAATTAATATTGATTGTTAAGATGGCCATCCTTCTCAAACTTATCTTTAGATTAACTGCAATCCCAATCAAAATCTCAGAAGGATATTTTCATAGAAATTGACAAGCTGATTCAAAAGTCTATAGGAAGCCCAGCCAGTGTGGTTCAGTGGTTGAGCGTGTCTCCCATCAATGTTGCTTTTTCTTCCTCCCTCTCTCCCTCCCTCCCTGTTTCCCTCCCTCCCTCCCTCCCTCCCTCCCTTCCATTCACTCTAAAAATGAATGGAAAAAATATCCTTGGGTAAGGATTAACAACAACAACAAAAAGGTACACAATTTAATGTTTTATAGTTTATTCACAGAGTTGTGTATCTATCACCACAATCAATTTGAGAACATTTTTGTCACCACAGATAGAAACTCCACACATACTTATAACCAGTTATTCCCAATTTCCCCGCCCCCCAATTTCTGGCAACCACCAATCTACCTCTGACTCTGTGGATTTGCCTATTCTGGGGATTTCCTATACATGGAATTCCACAATATATTACCTTTTGTGCCTGGCTTCTTTCACTTTGAGTAATGTTTGAAGGTTCGCCCATGCTGCAGTGAGGGTCAGTACTTAGTTCCTCTTTATGGTTAAGTAATATTCCATCGTATGAATACATGATGTTTTGTTTAGCCCTTCATCAGTTGACAGCGGTTTTGGTTTGTGTCTGCTTTTTGGCTGCTGTGAATAGTGCCACCATGAACTTTCCTGTATTGTAATGTATATTCTCATAAAATAGCATCAGTGACCTTGTCCATCCATTTACAGCTCTATTGGCCAAACATGTTGCTACACTCCCAAATTCTTGAGGGCAGGGAACATGGCTTGCCTGACCACCACTGTCTTCCCAGCATTTTTTTTTTTAAAAGATTAAAAAAAAAAAACAACACATTTTATTTGAGAGAGAGACAAAAAAAAACATCGATTTGTTGTTTCACTTATTTATGCATTCATTGGTTGATTCTTTTAAAGAAAACATTTTTATTGATTTCAGAGAGGAAGGAAAAGGGAGAGAGAGATAGAAACATCAATAGTGAGAGGGAATCACTGATTAGCTGCCTCCTGCATGCCCCCTACTGGGGATCGAACCCACAACCCAGGCATGTGCCCTTGACAGGAATCCAACCCGGGACCTTTAAGTCCACAGGCCAATGCTCTACCCACTGAGCCAAACCGGCCAGGGCCATTGGTTGATTCTTGTCTGTGCCCTGACCAGCGAAGACACACTGAGTCTTCCCATCCATGACCATGTTATATTTCATCATTGACTTGGGTCTTTTAAAATTTCTCCCAGCTGCATTTTGTAGATTCCAACAGGACCATTCTCTGAAAGAAGAGATGACAGGATTTATGGGTGATTGGGCATGGGAGGTGAGGAAAAAATGGGAAGAACAAAGCTAAATACCAAGATTTCTTTCTGAGTCACTGGGTTTAGTTGAAAAAGAAAGCAACTTGCTCCAGGCTAACCGTGGCTTCAGTGTAATTGACCTCAGGGCCAAGTGCATCCAAAGACCTTCTGAAACCCAGGTCTCCACACCCTCCCACCCTGGGGACACTCTGAGCCTCTGGGCCAATTAGTGCCAACATTCCAGGAGGAGGTGACACAGAGTAGCTGACACCTTCTCCCATGAGCCTGCAAAGACCTGCTTGCTCCAACCAACTAAGCCACGTGGCAAGGGCCCATTTCCCAGCATTTATAAGGTGTGTAAACCTGCTAGATGATAAGAGTTGATGGATTGTGGTATTTTCCACTACAGATCATTAAGTAGCAGTTCAAAAAGAAGAGCCAGACATAAATAAAAATATCTATATGTTTTACTTGATTTTGACCTTTCAGGTCATTTCCAGCTTGCTGGATGGTGAGTCAGGCTTACCCTGACCCCTGACCCCACAAGGGTCCTGGCACAAGAAGATGAGGTCCCAGGAATGTGCTCCCAGGAAGCAGAAATCATGTCCGGTGAGGGGAGACCCCACCCTGACACGGGAAGAGGCAGTTCAGACGGTGAGCTGAATCCAGCAAGGAGATCTCATAGTTTTGGGGGGTTTTGTATTCGATCACCCAGGTCATTGTCTCTCCCGTGGATTCTAATAAAAGTCCCCTGGGGATGAGCATTGCCAGTTGTCCCGTCTCCAGACCTGAGTCCCCAGCAGACCCTGGACAAGCAAGGACTCCAGCCTGACGTTTAGACACGGGCCTGTGCAGCTCAAAGGGGCTGGACTGGGTGACCAGTGACACATAGACCAGACCCAGGTCATCCATTCACAAGGGAAATCGGCTAACTGTCCACCTGCACCCCATCTCCCCTTCACCTCACAGGGAAACCAGCCCAACCCCAAACCACGGTCAGGGCCAGGATGTGTGAAGTCTTCCAACTCCAGGGCCTGGCGGGAAATGTGGAGGATGGACTGGAGAAGTGGGAGTGGGCGCTGGGGACCTGGGAGGAGGCAGCTGGATGGTGGGAGAGGTGGGGCTCCCAGGACCGGGAAGGGAGAGGATGACCCCTGGGCACTGACTGGTCTACAGGAGAGACCATTTACTGTGATGGGGACCCCCCGCAGACACAATGCAGGGTCCCCCTAAGTTAGAGCCCCCAGAGCTTGGGACCAAGGCAGCCTTGCCACTGAGATCTCCCAGCCCCCACGACAGGGATTGGGTGCAGTAGCTGCTCAATCAAAGAACTGATCAATGATTGTGGCTCCCGCAGGGGCGGGCAAGGAAGGGTGGCCTTTCAAGAGGAGCAGCTGGGTCTCCAGCAGCCTGTGTGTCACTCAGTCCCAATCCACAGTGATTTTTTTTTAAATATATATATTTTATTGATTTTTTACAGAGAGGAAGGGAGAGGGGCAGAGAGTCAGAAACATCGATGAGAGAGAAACATCGATCAGCTGCCTCCTGCACACCCGCCACTGGGGATATGCCCGCAACCAAGGCACATGCCCTTGACCGGAATCGAACCCGAGACCCTTCAGTCTGCA